TTCTCCGCCTGTCTTCAAGGCTCGTTACGTTGCTAGAGGCTTCAGTCAGCGTCAGGGGGTCGACTTCTTCCAGACCTTCTCCCCCACCCCGAAGATGACCACTCTTCGGGTTCTGCTGCACGTTGCTGCTCAGCGTGACTACGAGCTTCACTCTCTTGACTTCAGCACAGCGTTCCTGCAGGGCAGCCTGCACGAGGAGATCTGGCTGCGCCGCCCACCTGGCTTTACTGGGTCGTTTCCCCCTGGTACCCAGTGGAGTCTCCGCCGGCCAGTCTACGGTCTCCGCCAGGCGCCACGTGAGTGGCACGACACACTGAGGACTACTCTTGCGGCTCTTGGGTTCGCGCCGTCTACTGCTGACCCGTCGCTGTTTCTGCGCACAGACACGTCGCTGCCGCCGTTCTACATCCTCGTGTACGTCGACGACTTGGTCTTTGCTACTGCTGACACTGAGGCACTCGCTCGTGTGAAGTCGGAGCTGCAGAAGAGACACACCTGCACTGACCTGGGTGAACTGCGTAGCTACCTTGGCTTGCAGATCACCCGGGACAGAGCTCGCCGCACCATCACCCTGACTCAGTCACACATGGTGCAGCAGGTCCTTCAGCGCTTCGGCTTCCAGTTCTCCTCACCACAGGCCACACCTCTGGCTACCAGCCACTCGCTCTCAGCTCCACCTTCGGACGAGTCCGTAGAGCCGAGTGGCCCATACCCAGAGCTTGTAGGCTGCCTCATGTACCTGATGACTTGCACGCGACCTGACCTCGCGTACCCTCTTAGCATCCTTGCTCGTTACGTTGCGCCTGGGAGACACAGGCGAGAGCACTGGGAGGCTGCTAAGAGGGTGCTGCGTTACCTGTGCAGTACATCAGGCATGGGGCTGGTGCTTGGAGGACGCGACAGAGTTGTCCTCACTGGTCACTCGGACGCCTCTTGGGTGGACGACCTGGCTACGCAGCGGTCGTCACAGGGTTACACCTTCAGCCTTGGCTCAGGTTCTGTCTCGTGGCGGTCCACCCGCTCTTCCTTTGTTCTCGGCTCTAGTTGTGAGGCTGAGATCTACGCCACAGCCATGGTTGCACAGGAGTTACGCTGGCTCACCTACCTGCTGACTGACTTGGGAGAGCGGCCTAGTTCTCCTCCAGTTCTGTACGGTGACAACAAGGCGGCTCTTGCCTTGTGTCAGGAGCACAGACTGGAGCACAGGACGAAGCACATTGCTCTTCGCTACTTTCTTGCTCGAGAGCTTCAGCAGCGCGGTCAGCTTCGGCTTGTGTACGTGGACTCGAAGGCCAACACTGCTGATATCTTCACCAAGGCGCTCCCGCCTAGTGATCATCAGCGGCACTGTACTTCTTTAGGCCTTGTGTCCACGTTTCCTCACTTGCTCACTGCTTGACATTCTTTGTACTGTACTTTATATATATCTTGTTGCTTGCTTGCTAGGTTTTGATCACTGTGTTGCTTGTCTTGTACTATATCTAGCACTGCATGTGAACTGGCCTTGTGGCCTTTACTTGTGCTCGGAGTGTGGTGACGTTGTGATCCACCCTGGGCTTTGCTTTGCTTTGCTGGACTGGTCTTGTGACCCTTTGTTCTCCCCCACTTTGCCTATGGGGGTGTGTTAAACTGTATTATGCTTGTAGGCTGTAGTGGGGTAGCCAATATGGGGTACAACCCCAACTAGGGTTTCATATTTGTACCCAAAACTTCTGCTAGTTCATCATTCTTGCCTAGTGATTTTGATACATTCCCCCTACCTACCTCCCATGCTCTTCATTTACTTTTGTGGATGCTCAAAGCTCATTCCCCCTACCTACGTCCCCCCTCGCAGGCGGTGGCAGGTGCTGCTAATTCTTGCCAGGCTGGCATCAACCAGATAGAGAGCCCTCACCTGGATGCTCTACATCTGTGAACACTTGCTGCACCTCCTCTCCCACTTTCTTACCATCTCTGCCCTTACCACACCTCCCACCATTAGGAGGCGTCAGGTGCTGCTGATCCTTGCAAGGCCAGCATCAACCAAGGAGAGAGCCGTCACCTGGATGCTCTACATCTGTGAACATCTACTGCACCTCCTATTCTCCCCGTTCTTCCATACACTCTTTTCACCCTCTTGGCCTCCCCCCTCCTCCCACCTGCAGGCGGCGTCAGGCGCTGCTAATCCTGGCCAGCCTGGCCTCCATCAAGGAGCGAGCCCTCGCGTGGATGCTCTACATCTGTGAGCACCTGCTGCACCTGCTCCTCGTCCACTTCTCTCTCCACCACTTCCCCCTCTCCCGCTCCTCCTCCTCGCCCCTCGCCTCCCCCCTCTCGCCCTCCCCCATCACCTTCTCCTCCCACCCGCGCTCCCTGCGCATGCAAGGGCGTCGCGTCTCCCACTCTCCTGGGGGGGCTGATGGGATGGGGTTTGGGGGAATAATCAATGGGGGCGACATCGCCATCGGAGCTGTACTGTCACAGGATTTTGGTAACGGCCTACAGCCCATCGCATACGAGTCACGAATGCGTTTGCCTAAGAAGTACCCTATACACAACTGTGAAATGCTTGCGATCATGCACGCACGCGTTCAAAGTGTGGCGCTGTTACTTGACCGGCGCAGACGTGAGAGTACGGACAGACCATGAATCTCTACGGTACCTTCGCGCACAGCCCCACCTCAATCCACGACAGATCCGCTGGCTCGATTTCCTCGAGTCTGATTTTCATTACACAGTCACTTACAAACAAAGGGCATCAAACATCGCCGACGCACTGACCCGTCCCATTGCCCAAATCCACGCCATACTACTCGCCCAGACCAGCCCAATGCTTACAAAACTATTTACCTACGGCTACCAAACAGATCCATTCTTTACCGGAGGAAACTCGCAGCAGTTCGCAGCAGTAAAGGGGGTTCATTACGTAAAAGCCGGCATCGATCGCATCTGGGTATCGGGCTACGCGTTACTTGGGGAGCTGTTAATACAGGAGGCACACGACGGCGTTACCTCAGGTCACTTCGGGGTAGAAAAGACACGGCAGCAACTGCAGCGGTACTATTGCTGGCCCGAAATGTTGACAGATGTACAGTGACACGTGGCATCGTGTCCCACTTGCCAACTTATGAAATCATCACGGAAGTGGCCGGCGGGGCAATTGCAGCCGATACCACCCCCAGAGTGTGCTTGGCAGCAGGTGAAGATGTACTTCGTCATGGGGTTAGCGGCCGGGGCAAGTGGGAACGACGCGATCCTGGTCGTCGTCGATCGACTAACGAAAATGGCACACTTCGCAGCATGCAAGAAATCAATCTTGGCCGAAGAAACAGCTCGGCTCTTCATCGCCACCGTCGTACGACTGCACGGGATACCAGCAGCAATCATTAGCGACTAAGACACGAAATTCATCAGCAGCTTCTGGCGAAACCTATGGTAGTAGTTCGGCACGCCACGACAGTTCAGTTCTTCGTATCACCCCGAAATTGACGGACAGACAGAACGGACAAACCACACCATGGAACAGCTCATCCAAGCCACCTGCGACGACCCCACCACATGGGAACAGCGACTGCCACTCACTGAGTTTGCGTGCAACAATTCGCCATCTGCCACAACCCAACAGTAACCATTTTACGTGAACCACGGACAAGACCCCACTGTACCCATGATGCTGAATCCCGACAACCCAGTACCACGGGCGCAATAGTTTGCCGAGCTTTTACAAGCAGCACGGGCCCGGGTAGTAGACGCAATAAAAAAAATCAAACATCATCGCTAAACGCAACGTCGACCGCCACCGCCGTCCCGTTACTTATCAACCCGACAGCCTCGTTCTGCTCAACACTCTAAACCTCTGCCTACCCATTACCCCAAAACTCCGCCCCCGATATTGCGGGCCATTTCGCATCAGCCACATAATCACCCCCGTTACCGCCCACCTCCTCCTCCCTGCTGACTAGTACATCAGCCCATCATTCCACATCAGCCTACTTCGCCCCTACGTACCGTCCACAATCCAACTGCCTCGCTACCACCCAGCCAGCATGACACGACCACCCACCGAGCCAATCTTCACACCCGAGAAGATTCTGTGCCACCGAGTTCGTGACCCACGTAGAGCTCGCAGGATCGAGTTCCTCAGCCGCAAGAAAGGCTGCACACCGACCGAAGACAACTAGGTACCCCTGGACAAGATTGGAAACCACCCCGTCCTTACCGACTATCTGCGCAGCCGCAATTTCCGGGATGTACACGCACTCTCGTAAGGAGGGCCTCCTTAGTGGGGGTAGTGGAAAAAAACCCCCATTTTCTTATGTCGCATCCCAGCTTAGCGCGTACATTACTGTTCTCACCACACTCGACACTGTTACCACTTGCGACACTCGCCTCGACTATTTCCAGCCACCTCGCCCATCGCACCCCAACCCCCTTGCTTGGCTGATAACCCGCGCTCTATACCTCCGCTTCGACACTTTCCGACATCAGTCCCAGGCCTTTGCTATTTTAAATCTCGCTCATTCCTTCGCTCATTGTACTGTTTTGCTTAAAAAATGCAATTCTCGCTCGCTCGCTCAATTGCACTATTAACAGGTTCAAACAAATGAAGGTGTAGATTTTTTTATTGTTGCTGTCGAATTCCAGTCAAGCAGAATCGACATTCCCGAAGTGGGAGTGATATAATTCAACTACGATGTACTCGGTAAGGTTCAGTCTGGTTCCCAATGGTTTCAGGCGGTGGAAAAACGAAGATCGCTGTGAACTATGGAGAACGAGCCCCAAGCAGAAGGGAATATGACCTGCCTTGGTCGTTCGAACGCGGTCTAACTGACTATTTTATGTGCTGAAGAGTGTTTTGGTACGGTGCAGAGCGTTGACTCCGAATTTCGGGATCATCCGCACGACGAGCATACAATCATCAACACCTAGCCACTCCAGCACCGCGTTCTGGCTCACGACAGCACTTCCAGTCCAGTGGATAGTAGGGGAACGCAGCGTAGTCGGCCAATAGCAATGCGTCAATGGGAGGTGTCGCGTACCGCAATGAGCGGCATCGTCCACTCATCCGCGTCGACTCGCTCGCCGTGGGGCTACTTTGCTGCACTACGGGCCTCGTTCACGCCCCCTTCGCCTCCCGCTCTCGTCCCTCCCCCAGCTATCGCGGCGGCGATAGCCGCGTTCCCTTTACATACCCTTCTCTTCCCCAAGGCCCCCAGGTTCTTTCCGTTCACCACATGTCACCCTTTCATAAGGATTTTCTTCCTTCTCGCTCTCCCGCGCACGCATCGCTGCACAATCCAGTTGAATTCGTTTCGCCGCGCTGCTGGTACCTGGATCCGCCTCCGCAGCAGCAGGCCACAGTCCAGAACCGTCGGAGCTAGCCTACTCTCGCGTCACGTTTGACCTTGTCACGGGGTCATCACGCAGCATCATCATCATCAGCAGCAGCAGCAGCAGCAGCATCAGCAGCAGCATTGTCACCGTCCCCTCGTCGTCAGCCAGTCTCGCGTCGCTATGGCGCGAGGCGGGCCGCGTTCCGCCCTTCCATCCGGCCTCGCGGCGGTCCTCGCTGCTCTCACTGCCCTCGCGCTCCTCGCGGAAACCAGCGCTTTAACATGCGACACGGATGTGCAGTTCAAAAGCTCAGGTGGAGGACTCTTAGGTGGATTGTCATCGTCGCCGCTTTCCAGCGTCAAGGGCGACTCTCTCTGCGACAACGTGAATCGCGACAAGTTCGCCAAGGGGTCGCAAGTAACGGCGACAATCGCGTGGGGCTCAAAGAGCCGCATTATCAGTTTCGGCAACCCCACGTGCAGCGCCATCGCGTTCCACTCCGCGCGGGACTGCGCGGGAGGCCCCTACGTCACGTACCTGCGGCCCCCGTCGATCCCCGACGACACCAAGTGGTGAGCTGAGCTCGTATCTGCCGCACAACAGTCAAAGCTTCCTGCTGGGGCTGTTTCTTTGGTTCGGTGGGTGCGGATTTGCCACCCGCCGCTCCACCGTCCACGTGCCTTAAAGTCTCATCATTCTCGGTCCTTCCCGACACCCGTTTGAGGCTCCCCAAATGTCCACCACTCCAGCTGTCCCCTGCCCCAAATGTCCACCACTCCAGCTGTCCCCTGCCCCAAATGTCCACCACTCCAGCTGTTTCCTGCCTCAAATGTCCACCACTCCAGCTGTCCCCTGCCTCAAATGTCTGTTGGTGAAGATTTGCCACCCGCGCCACCGTCCACGTGTCTCCGGGCTTGACGCTGACAAGTCGGATAATCTCCTGTGCTTCCCCGCGGCCTTTTGAGGCCTTCAAATGTTTCTCACGTGTCGCAAGTCTCATCATCATTTCCTGTGCCCCCTGCTGCCGCCATGCCCTCTCTGCTGCTCTCAGGACACTCAGTGCAACCGACCTGCCAGCGTCAGTGCGATGCGAGAGGGGTAAGATTGCAAAAGGCTGCACCAGCACTCCTTGCTACGCTTTCAGAGCGGCATGCATGTGCCAAGTCCCGTCGCCCACAATGCACTGTGCCGTGCTTCTCAGCTCTGACTCCTCGGGATTGCTGTGCGGTGCCGTGTGGTGTGAGGTGGTGTAGCGCAGTGTGGTGTGGTGTGGTGTGCATGCCCAGCCGGAAGGCCCATGCTGAGGTTCATTCAGCATCACACACGGCATGTGTCACATGCGGTCACATGCATGATGCATCAGCCGCCACATGCATGATGCATCAGCCGCCACATGCATGATGCATCAGCCGCCGCGGGCAGCAAGTTGCTGTGTCCTTACCATCTAGTCGCATGCTCAAGCGCATGCTCAATGCTCAATGTCATGTAAAATGCTGGATTCAAACCAGGAACCTCAATGGCTTCATTCTTCTCCCTCCGCCTTCCTCTCATCCTCCCTGCCTCCACGATCGCTCCCTGCTTGTCCCAAGGCTGCTGGCTGGACTGTGGGTTCACTGCTAAGTGCGTGGAGAGGAACGGCAATCAGATTTGTGTGTGCCCTGCCTCTCAACTCTACTCCGACAAGCACAAGCAGTGCTTCCGTGAGTGGCGCATGCATGCATCAGGAGTGTGAGTGGCGCGTGCATGCATAAGGAGTGTGAGTGGCGCGTGCATGCATAAGGAGTGTGAGTGGCGCGTGCATCGTGAGGGAGGAAACTCTGAGTGCAAGTCTCCAAGACTCGAGCCTCTTTGTCAGTGAATGTCTTTGAGTGCATCCTGAGAGAGGCAGCCATGAGGAGAAGTCATGAGGGGGTGTCATGAGGGGGAGTCATGAGCGGGTGGGCCAAAGGGTTGGACGGGCGGCACTTTCTGTCCTTACACCTAACAACCGCTCGACCATTTGATCCCTTGGACTCTATCTCGTTGACGAGCTTCCCCTGTCAGAATGCAGTGGGGGGTGCGGTGACGTCGCTCACTGCACTCTGAGGGACGACGGCACATCACAGTGCGTGTGCCCGGACAACTTCTCTTTCATAACAGCGACCAAGACGTGCCAAGGTCAGCACACCACTCACCCATGCCCCTCAAGCCTCAAGAGTCACTTGTACTCGTGCTTTTCAAGTATCGGATGGGCGACACTGTTTATCCCTTCCTAACCACCGCTCGACTGATCGATCCCTTCTACTCTCCCTGCTTTGACACTCCGATCCAGCCAAGCCTCCCACGCCAGTGTGCAGTGAGGATTGCGGTGAGACGGCTAAGTGCACTCTGAGGGACGACGGCACATCACAGTGCGTGTGCCCGGGGAGCCTCTCTTTCATCACTGCTACCAAGACGTGCCAAGGTCAGCACACCACTCACCCATGCCCCTCAACGCTCACTCCCACTCATGCTCCTCAACTGTCCGATGGCCGGCAGTATTTTGTCCCATCCGAACCACCATTCGCCTTTTCTTCGCTTCTGGTGTTTCTCTAGTGTCGGATGGGCGGCAGTATTTTGTCCCATCCGAACCACCATTCGCCTTTTCTTCGCTTCTGGTGTTTCTCTAGTGTCGGATGGGCGGCAGTATTTGTCCTTACCTAACCACGGGTGGCCTCTTCAATCCCTGATACTCTCCCTGCCTTGCCATGCAGATCCAGCCAAGCCTCCCACGCCAGTGTGCAGTGAGGATTGCGGTGAGACGGCTAAGTGCACTCTGAGGGACGACGGCACATCACAGTGCGTGTGCCCGGGGAGCCTCTCTTTCATCACTGCTACCAAGACGTGCCAAGGTAAGCACACCACTCACCCATGCCCCTCAACGCTCACTCCCACTCATGCTCCTCAACTGTCCGATGGCCGGCAGTATTTTGTCCCGTCCTAACCATCATTCGCCTTTTCTTCGCTTCTGGTGTTTCTCTAGTGTCGGATGGGCGGCAGTATTTTGTCCCATCCCAATTACCATTCGCCTTTTCTTCGCTTCTGGTGTTTCTCTAGTGTCGGATGGGCGGCAGTATTTTGTCCCATCCGAACCACCATTCGCCTTTTCTTCACTTCCTGTGTTCCTCTACTGTCCGATGGGCGGTAGTATTTTGTCCCATCCGAACCACCATTCGCCTTTTCTTCGCTTCTGGTGTTTCTCTAGTGTCGGATGGGCGGCAGTATTTTGTCCCATCCGAACCACCATTCGCCTTTTCTTCGCTTCTGGTGTTTCTCTAGTGTCGGATGGGCGGCAGTATTTTGTCCCATCCGAACCACCATTCGCCTTTTCTTCGCTTCTGGTGTTTCTCTAGTGTCGGATGGGCGGCAGTATTTTGTCCCATCCGAACCACCATTCGCCTTTTCTTCGCTTCTGGTGTTTCTCTAGTGTCGGATGGGCGGCAGTATTTTGTCCCATCCGAACCACCATTCGCCTTTTCTTCGCTTCTGGTGTTTCTCTAGTGTCGGATGGGCGGCAGTATTTTGTCCCATCCGAACCACCATTCGCCTTTTCTTCGCTTCTGGTGTTTCTCTAGTGTCGGATGGCCGGCAGTATTTGTCCTTACCTAACCACGGGTGGCCTCTTCAATCCCTGATACTCTCCCTGCCTTGCCATGCAGATCCAGCCAAGCCTCCCACGCCAGTGTGCAGTGAGGATTGCGGTGAGACGGCTAAGTGCACTCTGAGGGACGACGGCACATCACAGTGCGTGTGCCCGGGGAGCCTCTCTTTCATCACTGCTACCAAGACGTGCCAAGGTAAGCACACCACTCACCCATGCCCCTCAACGCTCACTCCCACTCATGCTCCTCAACTGTCCGATGGCCGGCAGTATTTTGTCCCGTCCTAACCATCATTCGCCTTTTCTTCGCTTCTGGTGTTTCTCTAGTGTCGGATGGGCGGCAGTATTTTGTCCCATCCCAATTACCATTCGCCTTTTCTTCGCTTCTGGTGTTTCTCTAGTGTCGGATGGGCGGCAGTATTTTGTCCCATCCGAACCACCATTCGCCTTTTCTTCACTTCCTGTGTTCCTCTACTGTCCGATGGGCGGTAGTATTTTGTCCCATCCTAACCACGATTCGCCTTTTCTTCGCTTCTGGTGTTTCTCTAGTGTCGGATGGGCGGCAGTATTTTGTCCCATCCTAACCACCATTCGCCGTTTCTTCGCTTCTGGTGTTCCTCTACTGTCCGATGGGCGGTAGTATTTTGTCCCATCCGAACCACCATTCGCCTTTTCTTCGCTTCTGGTGTTTCTCTAGTGTCGGATGGGCGGCAGTATTTTGTCCCATCCGAACCACCATTCGCCTTTTCTTCGCTTCTGGTGTTTCTCTAGTGTCGGATGGGCGGCAGTATTTTGTCCCATCCGAACCACCATTCGCCTTTTCTTCGCTTCTGGTGTTTCTCTAGTGTCGGATGGGCGGCAGTATTTTGTCCCATCCGAACCACCATTCGCCTTTTCTTCGCTTCTGGTGTTTCTCTAGTGTCGGATGGGCGGCAGTATTTTGTCCCATCCGAACCACCATTCGCCTTTTCTTCGCTTCTGGTGTTTCTCTAGTGTCGGATGGGCGGCAGTATTTGTCCTTACCTAACCACGGGTGGCCTCTTCAATCCCTGATACTCTCCCTGCCTTGCCATGCAGATCCAGCCAAGCCTCCCACGCCAGTGTGCAGTGAGGATTGCGGTGAGACGGCTAAGTGCACTCTGAGGGACGACGGCACATCACAGTGCGTGTGCCCGGGGAGCCTCTCTTTCATCACTGCTACCAAGACGTGCCAAGGTAAGCACACCACTCACCCATGCCCCTCAACGCTCACTCCCACTCATGCTCCTCAACTGTCCGATGGCCGGCAGTATTTTGTCCCGTCCTAACCATCATTCGCCGTTTCCTCTTCTTCGCTTCTGGTGTTTCTCTAGTGTCGGATGGGCGGCAGTATTTTGTCCCATCCCAATTACCATTCGCCTTTTCTTCGCTTCTGGTGTTTCTCTAGTGTCGGATGGGCGGCAGTATTTTGTCCCATCCGAACCACCATTCGCCTTTTCTTCACTTCCTGTGTTCCTCTACTGTCCGATGGGCGGTAGTATTTTGTCCCATCCGAACCACCATTCGCCTTTTCTTCGCTTCTGGTGTTTCTCTAGTGTCGGATGGGCGGCAGTATTTTGTCCCATCCTAACCACCATTCGCCGTTTCTTCGCTTCTGGTGTTCCTCTACTGTCCGATGGGCGGTAGTATTTTGTCCCATCCGAACCACCATTCGCCTTTTCTTCGCTTCTGGTGTTTCTCTAGTGTCGGATGGGCGGCAGTATTTTGTCCCATCCGAACCACCATTCGCCTTTTCTTCGCTTCTGGTGTTTCTCTAGTGTCGGATGGGCGGCAGTATTTTGTCCCATCCGAACCACCATTCGCCTTTTCTTCTTCTTCGCTTCTGGTGTTTCTCTAGTGTCGGATGGGCGGCAGTATTTTGTCCCATCCGAACCACCATTCGCCTTTTCTTCGCTTCTGGTGTTTCTCTAGTGTCGGATGGGCGGCAGTATTTTGTCCCATCCGAACCACCATTCGCCTTTTCTTCCTTCTTGCTTCTGCTTCTGGTGTTTCTCTAGTGTCGGATGGGCGGCAGTATTTTGTCCCATCCGAACCACCATTCGCCTTTTCTTCGCTTCTGGTGTTTCTCTAGTGTCGGATGGCCGGCAGTATTTGTCCTTACCTAACCACGGGTGGCCTCTTCAATCCCTGATACTCTCCCTGCCTTGCCATGCAGATCCAGCCAAGCCTCCCACGCCAGTGTGCAGTGAGGATTGCGGTGAGACGGCTAAGTGCACTCTGAGGGACGACGGCACATCACAGTGCGTGTGCCCGGGGAGCCTCTCTTTCATCACTGCTACCAAGACGTGCCAAGGTCAGCACACCACTCACCCATGCCCCTCAACGCTCACTCCCACTCATGCTCCTCAACTGTCCGATGGCCGGCAGTATTTTGTCCCGTCCTAACCACCATTCGCCTTTTCTTCGCTTCTGGTGTTTCTCAAGTTTTGGATGGGCGGCAGTATTTTGTCCCATCCTTACCATCATTCGCCTTTTCTTCGCTTCTGGTGTTTCTCTAGTGTCGGATGGGCGGCAGTATTTTGTCCCATCCTAACCACCATTCGCCGTTTCTTCTTCTTCTGGTCTTCGCTTCTGGTGTCCTCTACTGTCCGATGGGCGGTAGTATTTTGTCCATCCTTACCACTGTTCGCCTTTTCTTCGCTTCTGGTGTTTCTCTAGTGTCGGATGGGCGGCAGTGTTTTGTCCCATCCTAACCAGCATTCGCCTTTTCTTCGCTTCTGGTGTTTCTCTAGTGTCGGATGGCCGGCAGTATTTGTCCTTACCTAACCACGGGTGGCCTCTTCAATCCCTGATACTCTCCCTGCCTTGCCATGCAGATCCAGCCAAGCCTCCCACGCCAGTGTGCAGTGAGGATTGCGGTGAGACGGCTAAGTGCACTCTGAGGGACGACGGCACATCACAGTGCGTGTGCCCGGGGAGCCTCTCTTTCATCACTGCTACCAAGACGTGCCAAGGTCAGCACACCACTCACCCATGCCCCTCAACGCTCACTCCCACTCATGCTCCTCAACTGTCCGATGGCCGGCAGTATTTTGTCCCGTC